AAATGGATTAAATCCTCCAATCAAAAGACATAGGGTAGCTAAATGGTTAAAAAATATAACCCAATATATGCAGTCTACAACAGACCCACCTCAAAACAAGACACATAAAGGATGAAAGTGAAGGGATAGAAAAAATTTTTCCATGCAAATGGAAAATAAAAAATAGCTGGGATAGCAATACACTTATGTGACAAAATACACTTCAAAACGAAGGCCATCACAAGAGACAACGAAGGTCACAATATAATACTAAAAGGATTGATCCAACAAGAGGATATAATCCTGTTAAACATGTAGAATCACCCAAATATATAAAATAACTTCTACAGAACTTTAATGGAGAAATTGACAACAATAAAGTCATAATAGGGGACTTTTAAACCCCGTTGACTTTACTGGATAGACCTTCCAGACAAAAAATTAACAAGAAACAGTGACTCTAAAGGACACACTGGATAAGATGGATTTAATTGAAATTTATAGAACATTTCACCCCAAAGCTGCAGAATACACATTCTTCTGAAGTGCACATGGATCATTCACAAAGATAGACCACATGTCAGGACTCAAAGCAAGTTTCTGCAAGTTAAAGAAGATTGAAATCATATCAAGCATCTTCTCAGATCACAGTGGAATGAAATGAGAATTTAACTATAGTAAAAAAATACCCAGAAACATTCATACACAAGGTGGCTAGACAATGACTGGTTTACCAATGAGATCAAGAAAGAAATCAAAAACTTCCTAGAAACAAATGAAAATGAACATACAACAACCCAAAATCTCTGGGACACAAGAAAAACACTATTAAGAGGGAAATTCATAGAACTAAAGGCCTGCATCAAAAAAAAGGAGAGAAATTAATATTAAAGTATTTAACCCTACAACTTAAATAACTAGAAAGAAGACAACAAGAAAAGCCCAGAGTAAGTAGAAGGAAGAAAATTACAAAGATTAGAGCAGAACCCTGCCCGTGTGGCTCAGCAGTTGAGCTTCGAGCCAGGAACCAAGAGGTTGCCAGTTTGAATCCCGGTCAGGGAAGATGCCTGGGTAGCGGGCTTGATCCCCAGTGGGGGACATACAGGAAGCAGCCGATTGATGATGTTTCTCTCTCATCGATGTTTCTATCTCTCTACCCCTCTCCCTTCTCAAGGCGTGTATGGAAGGCAACCAATAGATGTTTCTCTCTCTCTCTCTTTGTCTCTCTCTCTCTCTCTAAATCAACTTAAAAATTTTTAAATATGTATTTAAAAAAGATTAGAGCACAAATAAATGACATAGAGACGAAAAAAAACAATGCAAAAAAAAAAATCAATGAAACCAAGAACTGGTTCTTTGAAAGGATAAGCAAGATTGATGAACTGTTAGCCAGACTGATCAAGAAACAAAGAGAGCCATAGCTAATCTAGCTCAGTGAATAGAGCATCGGTCTGTGGACTGAAGGGTCCCAGGTTCGATTCTTGTTAAGGGCACATGGCTGGGTTGGGGTTTGATCCCCATTAGTGGGCATGCAGGTGACAACCAATTGATGATTTTCTTTCATCACTGATGTTTCTATATCTCTCCTCCTCTCCGCTCTCTGAAATCAATAAAAATATTTTTTAAACAATTTTTTTAAAGATACTCCCAGCAAGCAAAAGCTCTGGTCCTGATGGCTTCACAGGGCAGTTTTACCAAGCATTCAAAGAAGAACTAACACCTAGACTCCTCAAATTATTCCAAAAAATTCAAGAGGAAGGAACACTTTGAAGCTCTTTTTATGAGGGAGGCCAGCATTATCCTAATTCCAGAACCAAAAAAAGACACTACAAAGAGAATTACAGGCTAACATCCCTGATGAACATAGATGCTAAAATCCTCAACAAGGCTGGCTGGCGTGGCTCACTGGTTGAGCATTGACCTATGAACCAGGAGGTCATGGTTCGATTCTTGGGCAGGGCACATGCAAGAGTTGTGGGTTCGATCCCCGGAGTGTGCAGAAGGGAGCTGAACAATGATTCTCATGTTGTTGTTGCTGTTGTTGTTGTTAATCTTCACCCAAGGATATTTTTCCTTTAATTTTTAGGGAGATTAGAAGAGAGAGAAACCAATCAATGTGTCAAGAGCATGAGCCATTCACAAGAGAGAAAATCAATGTGAGAGAAACACATCAACTGATTGTCTCCTGCAAGGGCCCCGACCAGTGCCTGGTCCAGGGAGGAGCCTGCAACCAAGATACATTCCCTTGACCAGAATCGAACCCAGGACCCTTTGGTCTGCAGTCTGACACTCTATCCACTGAGCGAAACAGGCTGGTGCCAAGAATTCTCTTTCACCATTGATGGTCCTATCATTCTCTCCCCCGCTTCCAATCTGAAATCAATAAAAATATTTAAATAAAAAAATAAAATCCTCTGCCGAAGCCGGTTTGGCTCAGTGGATAGAGCGTCGGCCTGCGGACTGAGAGGTCCCAGGTTCGATTCCGGTCGAGAGCATGTGCCTGGGTTGCGGGCACATCCCCAGTGGGAGATGTGCTGGAGGCAGCTGATCGATGTTTCTCTCTCATCGATGTTTCTAACTCTCTGTCTCTCTTCCTTCCTCTCTGTGGAAAATCAATAAAATATATATATAAAAAATAAATAAAAAATAAAATCCTCAACAAAATATTAGCAAATCAAATCCATCAATATATTAAAAAGATCATATACCATGACCAAGTGGGGTTTAGTCCATAGATGTAGGCTGGTATAATATTTACAAATCAATAAACATGATACATCATATAAACAAAGATGCCTTACCTAATTAATGCAGGAGGCTGGTGAAGTCAGACCCAGAGAGGATCTTCTACTTTCTCAGTAAGGAAAATAACCATAGTAAAAAAAACTAGGTTTCTTTTTCTTTTTTAATATATTTTTATTCATTTCAGATAAGAAAAGAGAAGGAGAGATAGAAACATCATTGATGAGAGAGAATCATTGATCGGCTGCCTCCTGCATGCCCCCTCCTGGGGATCAAGCCCACAACCCAGGCACGTGCCCTTCACTAGAATCAAACCCCCAGTCTGCAGGCTGATGCTCTATCCACTGAACCAAACCAGCTAGGACTGATTGCTTGTTTCATTAGCAACAAGTTTGCATTCTACCTATTGTGTCTTTAGACTGATATTTCCCAACATGAACAATACTTTTACCTGACAAAGTACTTAAATCCTTTACTGCAGAACCAAACTTGATTTCTTATCCTATCTAATAAAAGAGAAACATGGTAATTAGCCGTACCTCCGCTACCCTTCCCATTGGCTAATCAGTGCAATATGCAAATTAATTGCAAGCCAAGATGGCGGCCGGCAGCCAGGCAGCAGGAAGCAAACATGAGGCTTGCTTGCTTCAGTGACGGACTCCAACGTTCCCTGCCAGCCTTGCCAGCCTCTGAGCTTGCAGTTTGAAACATTGTAACAAATATAGAAGCTAAACAAAACCCCAGAAACCTGCTTTCAGCCGGCCAGGATCTCAGAGCTAG